TCCATTCGCATCCGCAACTATAGAAAATTGTGTTTTATACACTTGCCAGGATGTCTTCCCATCATATGTGGATAGCTTCAGAGATGGACGAGCAGGCATCGGTAAGAATTTAAAACCATCACTATTATTCCCTGCCGTCGCTACGAATTTCTTTAAAATATCCACTTCTTTGGCTACTGCAGAAACCCTATCATCAATTTGTTGTTCGATTTGGTGTTGGACGGCACAAACTCTTCCTTCAATTCGTTCCTCCACAGCAGAAACTCTCCCTTCTATATGTTCTTTGATAGCAGAAACGTTTTCTTCTATTTCTTCTTTCACCGAAGAAACTCTTTCTTCAATTTGATCTTTTACGGAAGAAACTTTTTCTTCAATTTGTCCAACTTTATTTTCAACTGTGTCAATTCTGCCTTCTATAGCTTCAAATTTATTTTCTATTATGCAGGTAATTTCTCTTTTCATTTCTTCTTGACCAGCTTGAACGGCTTTCATTTCGTCCTTAACGGATTCCTGGCCCAATTTCATTTCTTCCTTAACGGATTCCTGGCCCAATTTCATTTCCTCTTTAATTTCTTCTTTAAATGAGGCAAAGGCTGATATTAACTGCCTTAATTGCTCTTCCATCGCTCTTATTATTGGCATTCAAATCCCACTTCTGACACCAAAAATTGTTGTCTCTGTATCCACCTGGCTATTTGACCCTCAGGATTTTTGAAATTTAAAAGCCAGGCCAATGAGGCATGGTCCGTGCGGAGGAGGAATTTTCTCCCGTATAGATAATGATGGAAATGTTCTACAGCTTTGACTATGGCGAGCAACTCTTTCCTTGTGATACAGTAATTCCTCTCCGGTTTAGACAGGCACTTGCTCCAGTAAGCTACTACACGTTCTTGGCCGTCTATTTCTTGGGACAAAACAGCACCGACACTTTCATTGCTCGCGTCGGTGTCGAGAATAAATGGTCTGTCGAGCTGAGGATACGTCAGGATTGGAGCAGATGTTAAAGCTTCCTTTAAGTTGTTAAATGCATCCTCGCATTCCTTTGTCCACAAGAATCTTTGCTTTCTCTCTGTCAGCTTGTGAAGTGGTCTTGCGATGGAAGAAAAGTTCTTCACGAATCTCCTATAGTAGGTGCAAAGCCCTAGGAAGCTTCTCAGCTGATGGACATTTTCGGGACGCGTCCAGGATTTAACCGCTGATATCTTTTCAGGATCCGTGCGCACACCTTCTGCAGAGATGACATGTCCCAGGTCTTTACTTTGGAATTATGAAGACCTTACAGAGAGTTCGTGAGCGCTTTTACTGGAATAATGCAAAGAATGACGTGCAAAAGTGGTGCCGATCTTGCGATGCCTGTGCAGGTCGGAAAGGACCGAGGAAATGCAGCCGAGGCAGACTGCAACGTTACAACGTAGGTGCGCCTTTTGAACGTATCGCCTTTGACATCCTGGGACCTCTGCCACGAACTGCTGATGGCAACAAATACATACTCGTTGTCATTGATTACTTCACCAAGTGGCCTGAAGCTTATCCTATTCCTGATCAAGAGGCAGTCACAGTAGCTGAGGTAATGATACAGCACTGGATTTCCAGGTTCGGAGTGCCTCTTCAGTTACATTCCGATCAGGGAAGGAATTTTGCCTCGGCAGTAATCAAAGAACTATGCAAACTACTTGGCATTGACAAAACCCAAACGACGCCATTGCATCCCCAGTCGGACGGCATGGTAGAGAGGTTCAATCGAACCATCCTTAATAACCTCTCATTAGTGGTTTCCAGAAACCAACAGGACTGGGACAAGAAATTACCACTCTTTTACTGGCTTATGGCTTACCGCAGTGCTGTCCACGAGACTACCGGCTATTCTCCATCACAGATGCTCTTCGGTCGTGACCTTCGTCTGCCTTGTGATCTATTGTTTGGCCGCCCTCCGGATGCTCCTTCATCGTCTGAGGAATATATTCAAGATCTCCAGGCCCGGTTTGAAGTGATGCACAATTTTGCACGAGAGCGAGTCAACTTGGCGACGGAGAAGATGAAGACCCGATACGACACAAGAGCTACTGAACATCAATTCCACGAAGGAGACAAGGTGTGGTTGTGGAATCCGACTCGACGGAAAGGACTTTGTCCCAAATTACAGTCACCTTGGGATGGGCCGTACACAGTCCTAAACAGGCTGAATGACGTCGTGGTTCGGATTCGTAAGTCTTCGAACTCTAAACCTAAAGTCGTTCATTACGACAGGTTAGCTCATTACTATGGCCATAGTACATAATGTAAATAATTGTAAATAGTATAAGACCATGGTCCATTTTGTTTTTAAATGTGTATTTGATTTATATTTGATAGCATTTGATTTGTTTTATGTATTGCATTTATTGTTCATGTTATTTATTATTGTAATGTAATGCTTATTAATGCATTTATGCCACAGTCGTAAGTTTAGCTTCCTGTCCAGGGATTGTACAGCCCGGGACGTGCAGTCCTTGGGAAGGGGGCAGTGTTACGAATTTGGTATTTAAAAAGCTAATGTTAGTTCAATTATAAATTAAATGGTTTTATTTCTCGCGCAGTGCAGCGCGTGACGAATATTAAAAGAAAGCTAAGCCGGAAAATTGAAAATACAAGAGCGCGTGCATTAAATAAATAAATATCTCTTTTTGATTTCGAGAAAGTACTGGAAAATTCTAGCGCGTGATTTTAAAATCTTATAAAAGGAAGAAAACATCTCAGTTTGTAGTTGCTTAGTTTGTTGTTGTTTAGAAAACTACTGTTGTTGATTGTAGCGAATTCGCGGATTAGCGTTCTTTAGCAGTTTCGAACTACGTTCTAGTGGACATTTGAGTAGTTAAAAGATTACTACTGTGAGAGTAATACTGCATGATAATTTGAGAAAATTTAAGCATTTTTGTTGTGATAATAATAAATTTTTGTTCATTTTTCATCGGACTTGTGCATTCATTTCGTAACGAACCCGTACGCACGCAACAATATTGAAGAAATATAATTAAGAATTGTCTTATTTTTGGAAGTAAATAAGTATGAATTGAATTCTTCCACCTATTTTACACATTACTTAATTAATTTAAATGCATTCTGAAAAACGAATTTTGGGAAAATAGGTCTATTATGCTTCTATCTGCTCTATCCATAACACAAAAACATAAAATTCATGAAAATTTTCATACTTTTGTGATGATGGAAATATGTATCTTTAATGAATAATTTTTGCCAGAAGAATAGTGGAAATACGCATTATATGAGTTCGCGGATGTCCTTTTTTATGCTCATAATACTCTTAATAAGTTCTCGTTGTAAAAAGAGAGAACTTTATAATTATGTACATACAAATGTATGCGTCTTTATTATGCTTAGAAGAAATGGTTAACAAATAAGGATAAGAAATTTGGTTGTATTATTTATTGCCAAGTTTTGTTCCTTTTGGCAAATTTTCTAAATTAAAAAAAGAATTTAATATTTAGCTGTTAATATATATGAATTAAAAAATGTAATCTTCTCTTACGAATACCAAACTTTAGGAATAAACCAATCTATACATATATAAAGAAGAAAATCTGTGTGTTTGTTTGTTCGCTAATAACTCAATCACTACTACAGATATCTTCACCACACTTTCTACAATTCTTTTCTGGGTCCTGGAAAAGGTCGACGTCCATTTTTTTCAAAAAAAAATCTAAAATCGGAAATATTAATTAATAATGCTTAAAACACTAATTTTAGCCCTCATTTTTCCGAGTGGCAACAGTGCTGATATAATGAGAGAGAATTAGTTTATTTTTCTATCGAAATTTTTATGTGGGTTCTATATCTCTCAAAATAATTCCTTTTTGCTCAAAATAATGATGTACTTTTGTTTTTGCTGACTCAAATGGCAATTCTATATGTAATATGGTATATATATACCATATGGTTCTATGATTACGTAGTCAGTTGTGGTATATGTATTGAATATTTGTTTCTTTGGCATTTTTTATGCATTACAATTACGCATCATATTTCTTATGACGTGTAATATGCTATTATACAAATTTTCAAATGATGTCATGAGTAAAAATACATTACTCTCAATCTAGCTCAACTGGTATCCGGTACTTCCTCTAGTAGAAGATAAATAAAAATTTAAAACTTTAATTTGCGACGTTAATATTATTGTCTATGTATGTTTAATAAATATTGAGTAAGCGAATCTTAAAATTTATTAAAATTTCTTTTTAATTTGCTGATTAAAATTTTCGTTTTGCTAAAAAAAATTCTGGCCCGCCAGCTGTTTTCAGGTCATGCAATCGACCCGCATGCAATGAATTTCAAGCCACTGCCTTAAGTTATTAAAAACGCTTACTATATTTAAAAAGGTTAAACAAAAGTTCTGTGTTTGCGTTGCATATAAATGCTGTTTTTTATTTACATCTCGGAAACTTTTAATACGACAAACAACGACTAAATAATGTTGACCTAGACTTCCGCGTTAAAATACTACGAAACAAATGATAAAGTAGCAACATTATTTGTTAGGGGCATTCACTGATTTAATGCAACTGAATTAAAAATTTTGTTCATATTTGAAATAAATAGTCACGTAAAAAGTTAGGACCCGCAAAGAAAAAAGGGGAAAAATAAAGGCTTTTGTGGATCACTTTGTACTAAGTACCAGTCCGCAATAACACATGAAAATAAACAAATGCTTTTAATGGCACAAAAGTTTGATGAAATAAAAAAAATGAGATGGTATTAATTTCATTAGCTGAAATTTTGCAACCTGCTGTGCTGTGGATGTTCCTAATAACTTTTTAAGCTGATAAACACAAATAAATTGTATTTTGCCATACCCTCGAATCATCATTTTTAACGTAGTTAAAATATCGTTTTTGAGTCATATTAGGTACATTAGTGCACAAAAAATGCTTTAAATTGAGCATCACCGCCTAAGGTAAAAAACAGAAACAAATAAAAAAAAAAAAAAAAAAAAAAATCCTTACCTTCAACAATTGTGGCTGACAGAGTCAAAAACGTAACTGCGATCAACAGGACGGTCATTTTTTCTGGTTTCCGCAGTCTTTTAACGGTAACTTCAACAATCCTGAAAGAAAAATATTTACATTAGGCCTTGCAGGCATCAAAATAAGCTTTCTTTATAGGCAGTATAAAGGAAACCATTTAAACTTCACAGAGAGTAAGCTTTTATTTGCTTCGAAGTCATCCAATTCATAGCAATTTTTACGACTGTAATAATCATTTTTACGAGTTTGAACTGGGAAAATATACAGTTATATATTCTTTTTAAAGGCGTGGTTGAAGCATTTCTTTCGAAATGAACGGAATGATAGAGGCTTTAAAGATTGTACAATAAACAGCATTTTCTCCTCCAATTGTGCATATTTAAATCTTTTTCACTCTGTCATTTGCAAATATAGATTTCCGGCATTTTTAACCGTACTTAGTAACCGGCATTTTTAACGGTACTTAGTTGCTAAGAAAATGCACCAATACTACATAAACAATACTTTGGTATCGCTTAGGTATTTTGCACATTATCATTTTCATAACAAGAGATTAGGAGATTATTACTATTTTAAAGTTCTTTTGCTAACGGCAGAAGATTATAAATCCTATCCTATACATTTTGCATTCAGTTAATTGTAGTTTAATTAAAAATGTCAAAAGGAGTTATAATTAGAAATGATTTACAGAATGACTATCTTATATTTTAAATAGCAGTTATAACTCTGAAAATACTTTAAAAACTTGGTACTATTTTAATAACTCCAGATTTATTGTATTAAAGCAAAGCAAATTAAAGCTATGTGTACAAGGGATATGTTATTTCATGGAAGGACGTTCGTTCTAAGGGATTAAACAAACATGCAGCCAGCCCATTACACGAAATTTAAATAGGTCAAGTTACCAATGTTCAGAGGTCTTATTCACTCGACCACTGGTAGGCCTTTTAAATCTATCCAAAAAAAGGGGAGCCCCATAAATTAAAATTTTTATTGGTTTAATAGAAATTTAATTACTCGATTTTTTAAGGATCTACTGTATAATCACATTTTGGTAAAAAAACGAAGGAGTGATAAATTCTCGATCCTCAGATAGATAAACAATAATTAGTTAAAATAAATGAATAAAACTAACTTAAATCATAAATACTTATTCTACGAAGAAGTCTATGACTACAAGTTGTTATTACGGCTGGAACAAAAGCAACAGTAAAAAGCTCTGCATTTCATATCTAGCGGTTTTGTAAGATACATAAAAAAAAAAAAAAAGAATGACTCTGTATTTACAAATTTATTCACGGAAAAAAATGCGAATAATTATGTGTGTCATATTTCGTTGCCTAGAAACATTGATAATTAAAAAAATACTCCAAGAGTACTTTTCTGTTGACGAAACCCGTGAAAAATCCTATAAACACACCTGCTGCTATTTAGATGCCGCATATTATTGACACGACTGATGTAACAATAGTAGAATTTCTGACATAAAATGTAAATAAAATAATTTATTTTTCAATAAAAACTTCAACTTTCTGGAATTAAAGTGTCTAAAACTTTAAATGTGAGGAAAAAACAGCTTGAATAAATAAATAAAACACTGGAATCCTTCAGTAAAGTGAAAAGAAAATAAGGCATTTTTTTTAAATAGGTTTTTTACAACAATTAGTGAAAAAATCACAACACAAACATAAAAGAGTAGTATATTCAGCCCTCCCCCCCCTTTTTTTTTTTTTTTTTTTTTTTTTTTTGCAGTGCGTTCGAGTGCACTGGGATACACTTTGTTTTCACAGCCAAAATAAACTGTACTTTTTCTTTTAATTAAGCATCTGCTTGTACGCAATGTAAATAAAAAAAAATATGGCGCAAATTTCTGGAATACATTCGTGAATTTTTCAAAGCTTGGCTTTAAGAAGAATGTTAAATCATAGTTGAAAATCCAAGTTATTTTCTATGAGTATAATGATACCCTAATTACCACTACAAGAAACAAAAATTTTAAGAACCGTGTTGTTTGGATTCTTTATAACTAATCGCTTAATATACACGAACCGGAGATAAAATAAAAGAACAAAAAAATTAAAAAAGTAATCTAATTCTTTAGAGCTGCCGTATTCAATGACCTGTAATTACGGCAATTGTATATCTACTTCTGAAGAATGATGGCTTTGTATTAAACTCTCCCCCTCCAATATACCCTGGGGGTAGCGGAAGAGTTCGCTATAAAAATTCAATAGAACATTCTGACGCCTTACCTCGTGATTGGTAACTGAACTATGTAATTGAAGGGCTGATCCTTAAATGGAAGTAATGATTTGTGTTGATAGAATAATAACGACTTTCACTGACAGCAGGTATGAGTGCGCTGAGAAATTTTTCTGCAGAATTATTTTTCCGAAAATGTAAGAAAGTTAAATTTTCGACCATTTTTACGTGATTTTTATTAAAATAAGATATTTTTGGAATTCATTTCTGAAATTTTTAGCATAAATTCCAGTTTTAGTAAATGCATCCAGGAGACCAGCATACGAGAAAAACCATTTGCCATTTCATATTTTTGTCTCAGGCTTTAAGAAGCTGTAATTAAAATATATTTAAACTGATATAGTTTCATATGGACTTCAGACGCTACGTTATCGTCAGATGCAAACTTAACTTGCGGAAGAGATAAATTTGATTTTTGAAGCGTAACTTTTTGCAAAAGAATCATTAAAGATTAATATAACACAATTAATTATATGACTTTAAGTAATGTATTGGGTAGTTAAATACTAATGAGATTTATAAGACGCTGCGATTTGAACGTCGACTAAAGAAAACAAATGCCCAACCATTAGAAGAATTATAGAATAAGATTAAATTAAAGATTAGATTATACTACCATTCCTTTTATCTGCATAAAAGATAGGACTTTAGAACACTACAGAATTTATCAGGAATATATGCAAAGAAATTTATCAGGTCTTAAACTTGAAGTACTCAAAGAAGGAATAATGCAGAAAACAGACAAATTGTTTATTAGCGCTCTCGCATAAAAATTAAATAAATAAAGTTCGATTTTAGTGATGATAATTAGTATGAATAGAAGAATATATGAAAAGTTCAGCTAGAAAGAAATTAAAGCAGTTTATTAAAGAAAAAAGGGCGAAATGACGTAATCATTAATTTGAATGATCATACTGGTTCTAATTTTGTAGAAAGACTATACTCAGAAATATGTACCTACAAAACTCGGCACGTTATGAACTAGCTGCAAAATAAGTAATTAAAAATGTAGTTCATATCAAACTATAAAAATGAAATAAAATAAAAACTTAGTGACGGGTATTTAGAAGACCCATACATTTTAGAATAAGTTTAATTCTATGGATATTTTTTTCAGAACTCAGAATTTCCTTGACTTCATGTACTAATACTTGCAGATATTAGACTTGGCTTACGTTGCTGCTGAATCCATCAGATAATGATAATGAGGAAAAACAAAACTTTTTATCTTTTATGTGAACCTGATACGATATGTATATTGATTACATACTGAATGAGAAAGCTCTGTCAGGTTTATTCACAAGACCAAATTATACTTAAATAAAAACAAAAGAAGAAAATAGAAATAAAAAAACATATTATGCATTCAAAAATATTTTATTTTTTTCACGGTTTTCTCACGATTGCTTTTTCTCAGTTTTCTTTTTGTAAAATATTGTTATACATAGCAAATCTCAGTTTTGTATACAATATCTTCACTACAGTAATCTTCCATATTTTTAAAATTATTTGCTAACAAACAAAAAAATTATTTTACCACAAAAAATGAACGCTGCGTACTCAGCGATTTAAAGGCAATTCGGTGGTATTTGGATATCTATTTTGTTTATCACATATTTCAGAATCGTTAAAAACAGGAAAGTTAAGTTAAATTAAGCCCCAATAATGCAATATGATTAGAGTTGCGGTTTTTATTTTATTTTGTTAAATTTTACTTATTCATTTATTCAATTTATACTTGTCAATATTCTATTTAACTACAACTTTATCTCTATTTATTCCTAAATGTACGCAAAAACAAAGCAGTCGCTATAGTATTTCACTGCAGAATTTTAACATTCGTATTTATAAAATCTGTTGGTGTATTTAATTACGGCAAAGCACACAAGGGCTGTCTGCCTAAGGGGAGGGATGCCTTCGTGGAGGACTTTCTAAGGGAAACTGACTCGTATACACGTTACACATGGGGAAACCACGAAAACGCCCATGCAGCCAGCCCGTTCGCGGGATTCGAACCTCGAACCGAATTACCAGTGTTCAGCGACTTTACCGCTCGGCCGCTGGTAGGATCTAAAATCTGTTGGTAATTAGACCTCTGGAAATATTTTGCTAGATATTCAGCTACAACTTTCAGTATGATCCTGTTAATAAAAAATTTGCATATATATCAGCGACCATAAAAACATATTCCCTTTTCATCTGAGTAGTTTAAAAAATAAAAATGAATTCAAATAAAATAATCTAAGTAATTTTAAGATGGTAATCAAAGTAACAAAAAAAAAGAATTCCTAATTTAAATAATTAGACAGCATTCCAAATTTCAAAGTCAGCTCATTAGAGAGAAAATATTTCATTAACTAACAATGTAAACGAAAATTCTTGAAATTTTGTCTTGAACAGAACAGCGATTTCTTGCAGAATGTTTGCAAATTATACTGAAATTGCTTAATGAATTATTTAAGATGAAGAAATTTCCTGATTATTCAAAATTCCCTTTTCTCCAAGAATGCGGAATAGGAATGGACAAAGCTTCATTCACTTCAGCTAAAGCGCATTCTCAAATCTAATTATTTCATTTCTACATACAGTTAATTAAATTCACTTAACCCTGGAATAAGTAAATGGGTTTTTGTTAAACTGCTTTTTTGAAATTCTGGTTCGTAAGATGCCAGAAGCCGCTGTTACATAATAAAGCATTCCGTGGATATTTTCATCCTGAAGTATTTCTTTACATGTTGTTTTCGAAAAGAAAATGCCCTTTTTGTTCTTCGAAGTTTGAAACACAACATTTTGTAACTTTTTATACTGCACTAAAGGG